CATTAGACTCGTGTTGATGCGTCGCCTAATCTAAAATCCAGCATCAACAATGTCAATTAGTAATTATGATAATTTTCCTCAATTAGCATCTAGTTATCAATTATATAACATGTAAATTTTTATAATGTTTCAACCATGGTCTAAAAGTTGGACTAAATAGTCAAATTAATATATATTTCAAAGTAATCTGTAAAATTGTTCATGATCCAACCATAGAATAACCAAACTTGGTCATGAAAATGTTTAGCTAACGTAAGTACAACTCAATTGTTTAAGATATGCATTTTCGACTAAAAAGTCGTGGGTTCAAATTTCTACTTTTGGTAATATTCACATTTGACATATGCTCTGATGGAGATTTTTGGAGCATATTGTTTTAATAATAATAAACAAAATTATAAAAATGTTGACTCTGATCCATGAAAAATATACTCCAATCTTAGCGCAGACAAAAGGAGAAAAAAAAAGTGTCCATTACGAAAACTCTTGGCCTAGCTAAAAAAATCAAATACAAACCCAATACAACACCGCAAAAATAATTTTATGGTACCATAAAAAGATGTTAACTCACTACAAATCTTAGAAATACAACATGACACGTAGATCAATTAAGTCAACTCAATATCGTCGAATTCGTCTAACTAAGCCAACGGAGAAGACCGACTTAGCCTGAAGACCGAATTGGAGACTAAAACTCAACTAGAGAACGACTTACCCTAATTCTACCCTACCCTAGTTTACACCTCGTCAACTTATCTTCATTACCACGTGTCCGAATAATTTGACAGGATCCTGCATCAACAAAATTAAACTTCAAAATTAAAATTTACTTCTCCCAGGTACATAGGGTTGGATTTTTTATTTTTTTTTAATTTTAACTTACTATAATCCATAATATGTGAAGTTGCGATTAAAAAAATGTATTAATATAACAAAATTTTCATGCTTTGGTAAAAGAATCCAAAGATAAAGAATGATGGCTTACGCTACAGCCGGCCGACTTAATTTTGGACTCGAGTCGGTATGATTGGACTAGACCTTCACATTCTGCTATAAATATAAAATAAAATAATTACAGGCATTATTGTTTAAATTTAGTTTAAAAAAAAATTAATCCTTACTTTTATCGAGGTAACGATTTAATTCAGGAACTTTATTTAAACTTAGTAGGTAATAATTTAGTAAGAAGTTTTAGTATGTAATTGTTCGGTCTTTGCAGTTTAAAATTTATGACGACTTAGTCTCTATTATAAAAATCTTATCAAAATTAACTGTCGATATTTATCACATGACAATTCGGTTTTTGTAATTTATTAGTCCATTAAGTTTAAACTCTATGATGGCCACTTATCTAAAAATTAATTAATTTTTATATATTTATTTAACAGCCAAATATATAGGATCAGACGGTTGTCTGTGAGATTAATTTAGATGCACATAACTTGTTTGAACACTCACGAATATATATATATATATATTATTAGTTTGTCCATCTACGTATATAAGAAACTTTATTAAACCTTAACAAATTTTTTTTCAATGGAAAAAAGTCATTACAAACTTTAAACTACATAGTATTGTTACATATTAAAGTTCACGAGCTAAATTGTTATCCATTTAAAATACAACGACTAAATTACTATAAAGTAAAATTTAAAGATTAAATATTTACTTCAATGAAAGTATAGGATGATAAATGTTTTCTAACGGGTAGATTGTAATTCTCTCAACAGTATACACCATATTTCTTTTGCTTATTTTGTTTGATTATAACGATATTGAAATTTGGCTAAGATGCACGATCCATCCAATACATTTTAGTAGATAACGAGACACATTTTATATTTACATGATAATAAACTTGTATTATCTAATTTAGTTGACCGCATTAACTATATTGAAAAAAATAAAAGCTATTTTTCGTTTGAGTATAATTGATTTAAGAATAGGTAGTAGAATTTAACCAAATCATATCGAGCAAATCGTAAATATTAAATTGAAAATAAAATGAAACGAAATTATAGAGACTAAATTTAAAGTTTTTAAGTACTAAAAAAAAGTTTAAAATTTTAAAAGTATGAAAAAATAAAATGGAGTAAATTTGTAATTAGTTAACCGTATTTAAAACAGAATTTCCGTATGTTCTTTGAGAGCGAGATGAGAGAGAGTGTTGGGCCTTGGTTGGGCCCACAAAGACACGACACAAAATGTCAAGTTATGCCATAATTGGCCTATAGCAACTGCTTAGGGACAGAATAATGGGATTCATCCATTGAACCCATTTTTTCAGACTGCCACCGTTGTCAGTTCCATTTCACAAATGTCAATTCTCCCTCTTTCATGTTTATTTATATGGCAATCAATACATACAAATTTTTTATTTAATTTTTAAGCAGTGGTTATTATAAATTCATTCTCTTTAAATCATTTTTAATTTAATTCGACTCTTTAAACAAATATTATTAACTAATACAAATGGATTATTGTTGTCTAGATTTTATCATAATTGATTCATTAACTAGGTATATTGCTTATTCACGTGTATAATTTTACACGAGAAATAAGTTAAATCCATTAGTTTTCATTAATGAATTAGTGTCTTTTAACATAGTTTGTTGCCTTTATTTATTTATTCATTAATTATCGTTATCAATGGCCAACCTTAACATAGTTCAATTAGTTAAGGAACATATATCTGACCAAAAGGTCGTGAGTTCGAATCTCTACTCCTATACGTTGTAAATCATAAAGTTGAAGAATCATTAGATTATTGTTCATATTGATAGGTAGACTACTACTAAGATACTACTTGACACATGAAATTTATATGTATGCCTATCACCCAAATTTAACACGCCATTCAAACAAAATTCGTTTCTTTTAAGTTACATGTTCATGTGTCCTAATATTTTAATAAAGCAACGGATTAAAGATGCATTAGACATGTAATTTTAATTTATCGTTGGTCACTTTTTAATGTTCACCCACGAAAAATGTATTGAAAAATATTGTAATTGAAGAGGCTATATTGAAACCTATTAAACCATAAGGATTAAGTTGAAAAAACAAATACTAAAGCATTTAGAAGGGAAACATTATATTTAGCTTGAAAAATAAAGATTTGAATACTACTCTTAACTTTGATTGGTAAATTTTCAAGTCGTCTATTTTAATTCTGTATTTTACATTTTATCCATTTTATTCTAGGTGTTTTTTAAATATTTGTTTTGGTTATTATACTTTTAAAGAGTGGTTGTTTCGATCCATCCACATTTTATTTTTTATCTATTTCTTTCGATCATAATTTCAATACGACCCTATACTCAATAAATTTCTTATAAATGTAGCAATAACTTTGTATTAAATGGTATCTATTATGTATTGAATTTGTGTTGAAAAGTTTACAAATAAGAAAAAAATGATCACATTTTAAAAATATAAGAACCAAAATAGACGTTTTGAAAAGTACCTAGATCAAAATGAACAAAAGTGGAAAGAAGTACACCCATCAAACACCCAAATAAACCAAAGTTAAAATTACAAAAGACCCAAATATAGTATTTAAATTAAAAAAAAAATTATTTGTGAAAATGATCTATAAAATTTTCCATTAAAGAAAGAGACGCAACCCTAGCCAATGCGGCATGGGGAAAAAGTGTTTAGCAATTGGCATGAAAATTAGTGCCTAAAAAGTGAATCACAAGCATTAATTATTATTGGTTAAAAGAAGATTTTATCCCTAAAAAGCAATTCTCAACGAAAATTACAATCATTTTTGGTTCGAAATCTTAGGAGTGTTCCCCAAAATACAAGCATGCCAAGAAGATTTTTTGATCCCTAAAAAGCAATTCTCAACTAAATTTAATATTTTCAGATTGCTTTCATTTCCCTTTGAGAATAGCTATAATGTACTATTATTATTTTTTTAAAAAAAAATTCTATGTTATTTTCTTTCATCAGATTTCTTCACAAAATTGATCCATCAACTTTATTTTTTAACTTTTCTTTTTAGCTCTCTTAATCTACTTATAATCATTTGTTTTATACTTTTCTTTAAAATAGTGAGCTAATCACTTTTTTAAATGTGTTGCAATATCTTTTGTTTATTTTATATGTTTTTTCAAATTTTAATGAAAATTTGAAAATCAGTGCCTCTAAATTTTTTGGTATTCAGAAAATTTAAAATTTTATTTTCCCACCTCTTTTTCTATTGACAAGATGAATCATATATCAACTTTGTTTTTTAAAATTTATTTTATGTATTCTTTATATATTATAATCCTTTTGTTTTATATTTTTATTTAAAATATTGCAATCACTTTTTCAAAATTTAATAATAAATTAAGATGAACAAAATTTGAAAATTAGCTCATTTAAGCTTTTGGGTATCGAAAAAAATAATTAAAAAACGTTATTTTCACCCCCTTCTTTTTCTATTGAAAAAAATTAATTAATTGATCAACTTAATGTTTTTTCAATTTCTTTTCAGGTCTCCAAGGCTTAATCTATTTATAATCATCTTGTTCTGTACTTTTTTAAAATGTTGAGATAATGACTTTCAATATACCACTTTCTATGTCAATGTCCTTTTTCTATACTACATTCTTTTAAAATTTCAACTAAAATTCTAAATAAGTGAACAAAATTAGAAATTTTATTTAAATGTATTTTTTCTTGGTTTTTTTTTTTTAAAGAATAAGGCGACCTATTAAATAGTTGTACTATTTCCTGTCAAGAAATTATTTAAATTTGTCTCCATTTATTGGAAAAAATAATTTAAACTAAAAATTCCCATTGGAAATGAACGATTGGGATTGGCCCACCTTCATTTTATTTTTCCATCTAAAAATAATTTATCGCTTGATTAAAAAAAGTAATAATAAAAAAAAAGAAAGTTATTAAATATATATATAAAAATATAGGTGGGGCCCATCACTATCATGCGCCTGGGAGTCACCATCTTTGTCTTCCCTAGAATAATGTAAGCCAGAGACGGCTCTGACTCTTTTCTCTTCTATTCTTTAAAATATTCTCTGCGCTCTCCCAATTCCTCGGCGATTTTTACCTCTACTGGCATTTTCACCGACCGAAATCGTCAGAGCCGCCGATTTCACTTCCGAGCGCTGCCGATTAAGTCGCCGATTCCCTCTCTCTCTCTCTGCCACACCTGGTTCGAATCTGCAGCCAGGTACAGCCACACTTTTCTTCCTCTCTGTTCGATCTCATTTTTCTTCACCCGAGGAATCGAAATCTAATGGATCGTTCTTGAATTTGTGTTTGTTCCGAAAAATGTGAAACCTCTTTTTTTTTTTTTTGGTTCTAGAAGTTGTATGATAGTGGTGTTTGTGAAGCGGAAGTCAGTTCCAGATTTCGAAAATGCCGTGTTGTAGTACAAGGATTTGATACGAGTTGTCTGCATTTCGGAGTTCATGTTTCTCTGCTATGAAACAGAGCGTTATGGCCAGTGAAATGCTGGTGTTAATTGTTAAGTTTTGTTTGAAACGATTCCTGATTTTTGCGCAGGATATTGTGGATTATTCCTATTCGTTATCTGAGGATTTGGATCCCTGGCGAGTTTCAGAAAAAGTGGAAGTTATTTCTTATCGAGTTTCGTGAAGATTAGAATAACGGCGGAAGATTCTCTTTATGTGGTCCGGTATTTTCTTCTACCAATTAATTTTATCTAATCCAATTATTTATTAGTTCGTCTGTCCTTTTTTTCACTTCGTTTCTACGATGGAAATGTTTCGATTTCTCTTTCAATAGTGCTGCTGATTTGAAATTTCTCTTCACCATGTGAAATCACCCTAGATCCAAAAGGTTAGCAGACCTAAGTAATCAAGAAGCGGTTAATTTTGGACTATGGAGACCTTCTAGGGGAGGGGAAAAAATTGTGCATTAAAAACGTGAAGAAAGTAATTTGCATATCATGCATCTATCTGTTGCTGTCTTCTTGCTTCGATTCTGGTATAGGATTTCAATGCATTGCATTTACCTCACTTCATGAATCATTTTCTTTTCAAGTTCAGATTTCGTAGGACTTTGTTGTTTGTGTTGCTCCACGACCGTGGATTTATGCTTCAGTTCATATTCAAATGCTCTACGAAACTAGAACTATCTTAACTTTGTTCTAAACTACAGCCAAACTGCAGATTAGTAGCAAGAAATTTCAACATCGGAGATTGATTTACCATCAGGGGAACTCTCTTAGGAGCTGCTAGGTACGATAACCATTCTGATTCTGCGTTATTGGTGGACGAATTGCAAGTGTTCTCATAAATTCTAAGTAGATATTTCTATTGAAATTATTTTTGGATTCCCAGATGAGCTCAACTGATGTTACTGGCAGTAGAAGGGGGAGGGTTCTTTTCTTCTTCAGTTTCTGGTTGTAGCAGTAGTCTGACCCTTCTTCTCTTGGGTCAGAAGAGCGAAGATAAACCCATGAGAGTTTTGCCATTGTTGGTTGATCGAGAGCCTGATCTTAACATTCAGCTGGCTTCAACAAAGACGTGGATTTCCTGGAGGTGCGCCTCCCCCTCCTTTCGCTGCTTTCGTCAGAATCCTGCAGTGACAAATTCATCTCCTCTAAAGAAAGCGGCCACTACACAGCGTCAAGACAGTTTAAGAGCATCTCCTCGTTCTGATAATGGCAAGAACAATCACGTTCCCAGTTCAGATGATGATAATCTTGCAAGAAAGATGGTGCTTAAAAGTAGCTTGAAAAAGGCATCAGATGCTCCTATAGTTTCTGTTCCGAATGCTGATGGAAATGAAGCATTGGGAGGAAAGGGTAGCTGTGATCCTAGTCATGTAGAAAGAAGGAAAGTTCAGTGGACAGATACTTGTGGAAGCGAGCTTGCTGAAGTCAAAGAATTTGAACCAAGGTATGGAAACTTCTTCACTTTTCTTTTTTTTTTCCAATCCAATTCTCTAGAAGAAGCATAATTTTTATTTTGAAGCTTGTGAAGCATTGCATGTAGTTCTATGTCCCCATGCATTCTTCATTGTCTCAAGAAGCTATACAACCTCAATGTTCATCACATCATCCTCTTGAACTCTGCAAAATTTTAACTCTTCGTAATGGCCACTTCTAACTGCCTGCAACCTTGCCCATTGAAGTTCAAAAATTTGCAAACCACTTTACATCCCATGATTTTTCATTATGTAAATAACATTCTCATGTTTTTAAGTTAAAAGAGTCATCTAGTTTAAAATTTTGCAAGTCACTCTTCTGTCAATTAGCTTTAAATCAAATTCATCCACGTATATGGCACAGGCCCAGAATAAATTTCATATAACAATTCTGGTAAAGTTAATAGATAAAATTTTCATAAGGGCACATATTTTATATTTTGCAAATGATGGATGTGATTGACACCATTTTTAAAACATAGAGGTATGATTTGTTGACTTGAAGAATCACCCCAGTATAATTTTTAATTATCCTCATTTTCCATTCAACTACCAATGCTCCAAGTGTCTCTGAGATTAAACCCTGTTTTGGTGAAAAATGAGATTAAACCCTGTTTTAATCATCCTCATTTTTCATTCTACTGCCCATGCTCCAAGCTCTTGGCCTAGGAAATTTAAAATCTGACGCTGTTGCTCAGATATTTCAGATGAAAAATGGCATTACATGGTATCTAAGTTTGTATTTCCACTTATTTTGAATCTTGATCCCAAATGCAGCGAAATAAACGCATCTGACGATGAACATGACATTGGGAAAAGAAGGTGTTTATGCGCCATCATGTAATTCAAAATCCTTTTTTTTTTCCATTTTGAGGAGTTGTGCTCACGATCCTCAAAGATCTGCCGACTTGGATCAAATCAACTTGTTCGCTCAAGAATTTTTCATGGCAGAGGAAGCTGTGTCAGCAATTTTAGACAGGCAGAAACCAGCTCCAGGAATTCTGTTGGTCCCCTCCCCATGTTCTTCAGAGTGATCAATTTATCCGTGGTAGTGCTGGTTTCAGTAAGTTTTTTTTTTCTTCACATGGATGGCCTCCACTTTTTAGCACTTTTTTGTTGCTTTTTCACTGTATCAGTCCCTTTTTTTATTTGTTACTATATATAAACTGTGTTCCTTCTGTGGTTTTCCTCCCTGTATGAACAATTTTTTGGGATATTTTCTGTTTAGTATTTAGAAGGAAGCTTTTGATAATTTGATAAGGCTTTTGTTGGTTGGTATTAAAAAAAAAGATTAATGTTGCTACATGAATTCTGTTTGTTGATTCACTACTTCCACTGTTTCTAGATTATGAAGTCTGATTCATTTCTGGATTAAATATGCTATGTTTATGCAACGATTTTGAAAGGAATGATATTTAGGTGTTTGGTAGATATCTTCCTAAGTATTAAAAATATATATATATATATATATATATATATATATATATATATATATAATCTCTTTTTTTATGCACTCGTCTACATTAGTTGTCAACTATTTTAACGATAGTAAGTAGAAACAGCCTACTTACGTGTAACTGTAAGACCCGAGATATTATTCTTCTAAAATTACAAATGAGAAAATGGACTATTAATGTGCATTCTCTGTAGCTTAAATTTAATATTGTACTTTAGAGTTATAAAGTTTATTAAAAATTCATTACAAATTTGGATTTGTAGCATATTTTTCATGAAACGTGAGCAGGTGAATGAAGCAAACAAACTCGTCAACTTCTTAAGTACGAAGATTATAATTAAAAATATTATATATAACAACTTAAATGTTACCAGAACTAAACGTAAAAATCATCAAATTTTTGTTGACTGCAATTTATCTAATATAACATACTCGTTTTTTAGTAGAACAAATATGAGAATGGACTATAACCTCTTACTATAATACATTACATAGTAATTAATTTATTTGGGATGAATTCAAAATAATACTAATAATAATAATTTATTTTGTACAGGGCATGTCACATTGGTTGAAAACATAATTTAAAATTTTGTATTTCAAACTCAATATTTACATATGATGCACATGCTTTAACGGTTAAAAAAATAGGGAAAAAAAGAAATAATAGGTTCCACCGAGATTTGAACTCGGRTTACTGGATTCAGAGTCCAATGTCCTAACCACTAGACCATGGAACCATTTGATATCCTAAAATGAAACTACATTCTATAAATATAATTTAACAAAAATCTAATAATCACGTAATGAACTATATTTTCCGTACCATAAACGGCACGTGGTGTTGGCACGCTTGAGAATCGATTGTGTTCATTGTATTTTCTGAAACTTGGCGACATCGTATCCACACCAAACATATCCCTAATCCATTTCTCACAAATCTCACACCAAAATTTTTCACTTCAATTTTCTCTTCTCAGAATCAGAATCCATTTCTGTTCCACAAGATTCTGTAACGGAGAGAAGAATGTCGGGGGCCTGTTCAATCCCCTTCGCGAAAACGCCGTCGCCGGCACCGTCGCCGTCGCCGTCGGCCGCTGCCTCTGCTTCTTCATCTTCCCCTCACGCTTCCATCAGATTCTCCTCCTCAAAGCCTTTCGTCTTCACCATTAGGAGCTCTCAGACCGAAGGCCCTCTCCGGAGACCCGCGGCCCCTTCTCTGAGAGAGCCGTCCCCGCCGCCATCTCTCACACCGACTCCTCCGTCGCAATCGCCTCCGCCTCCGCCGCCGTCGGCTCCTGTTGCTCAGTCGTCGATGCAGGCGTTTGCTGCTAAACAGGATAATGTGATCACGTTGGAGTTTCAGAGGCAGAAGGCCAAGGAGCTCCAGGAGTTTTTCAAGCAGAAGAAGCTTGAGGACGCCAATCAGGGACCGTTCTTTGGCTTCATCGGGAAGAATGAAATTTCCAATGGGAGGTCAATTTCATTACCCCCTTTTCTCTCCCCAATTTTATCGATGATTATTAAATCTTGAAGCTAGATGTTCTCATGGGTGGTTTTGCTGTTTGTTTTGCGCAATTCGTGGCTGTTATAATTCTTCTGCAATTAAATTGAATTGATAATATTGCCTGCAATTCACTGCGTTTGGACAAATTCTTGATTAAGATGATTGTGAAACGAGATTAATTACCAAAATTTTCTTTGTTCATCATGCATCATCTTAGAATTACCATCAGGACAACGGGTCGATAAGTCCCACATTTAAAATGATTTGTAGTCGTAAAAAATTGCCTCCAGTTGGTTGCAAGTTTTGATTCTGTTCAAGTGCAAGTGCCTAAACTCTACATTTTTCAAGCAAGAAGCAGAATTACAAGAACTCTTCTTTATCTTTACGGATAATCAATCCACTTCCAAAATAGTTTGGAGACTCATTTTCTGCAATACTGCCTCTGTTTGAAAAACCATATCCATTGTGTTTTGTCCTGATTTTATTCAAACCTCAAGTGATCGATCCCTTATTCGATTTATCAATTTTATTCTTCAATACACGAAAATGGTCTGTACCTTGATTCCAGATTTTACTGAATCTCATACTTGCTTGTGGAAATCAGCAGTTCAGTTCCCTGGTTAAAGGTCTTGAGTTCACTACTCTTACTGGGTTGTTTTTCGCTAACAGGTGGGCAATGTTCGGTTTTGCTGTCGGAATGCTGACAGAGTATGCAACTGGTTCAAACTTTGTTGATCAAGTAAAGATCCTCCTCTCAAATTTTGGGATAGTAGATCTCGAATGACACAATGTACAAGGTCGATGTCGTTTATACTTTTCTGATTGTTGTAATTTCTGTATCTACATCCTGTAATTCACCTGATAGTCTTCTTGAGAATTTTGTTGTTTGATACACTCAATTGCCATTCAAGTGTGTGCTCCTTGCAATACTTACTGTTTTGCTGTTATATAAAAAGTCTTCCCTTTTTTATGAGTCTCGTTGGTTCAATAGGAGTATAAATAGTTATGCACATGCCCTCAATGGACAGTCCAATTGGCAAGAGCTTGGGATCTATTGGTTATACTCGTCTAGAGGTTAGGTTTCAAGTATGAACCTTCTGCTGAGCTTAACACCAAAAATCTTTAATATCTACTGGATTCAGGCCTCGGAGCTACGCACACCTTGCTAAATTTTTGTAGCCTGCATTTATTGAACGTTATATAATCAACCTTGGAAATCTGATAAACTTCAGATTACTTGTGCTGCTTACATTGCTTCCTGTTGCATCATTGTTCAACTATGGATGCACCTGTCTCCTCTTCTGTTCTTTCAGAATATCAAAAACATTTGTTATTGTCAAAATTGGCATGATTTGGTCTAGTTGTCAACAAGAGCCGATGTAAATAGTAAAGCCCTAAAAGGAATGAGTAAGGACTAGGTTTCAAACCATGGTGGTCAATGACCACCTACTTAGTATTAAATATCTTACGACTTACCTTGACAGTCAAATATAATAAGGTTAGGTAGTTGTCTCGTAAGAATAGTCGAGGTAGAACTAAATAAAAGTAGAACTTATATATATAATTTTTTCCTAGTAAAAAAGAGATTTAATATTAATACCTAATTTTAAAACTCTTTACTAATATGATAATTAAAAACACAGCACCAACTTCAAAGATTTTGTAAAAACAATACACTTGCAAGAAAATTTGTGGAAACTTAAAAAAGAAAGTACAAACTTATGATAACAATTACACATCCAGTAAGTCACACGATTGACAAAGTTCAATCAATTAAAAATTTTCATTCAATATTCGGTTTCCCTTTATATTACTTACCTTTATAAGAAAAGAAAAGAAAAACCTCAGCAACATTACTCTACATTTGACGTATTTGAATAATTGGCTCAAAAGACTATTTACACTCCTTTAAAAGTGAAATGTTGTTCATCTCATCCACATGAATGTCGTCGTAGTCATCGTCCTCACGAAAATTACTCGTCGAGCTTATTTTGATACTCGTTGTCACTACGCATTTTCTCGCCGCAAAGTCGATCCAACAACTCAACAACATCGTACATTGGAGGCCTTTCCTTTGACTTCTCACTTGTACACAAACAAGCAATCCTAAAATATTCCTTAACATTGGCTTCCATCAGTTCCTCCCTCGAAATGCTTGCATCAACCATTTCCATATGCCTATTTTGGGCCACCAAATTCCTAGCCCATTCTATTAGGCCCACTTCTCTACCGTCCAATACCATCGGCAAATTGGGCCTCCGGCCCATAGCAACCTCAAACATCAAGATGCCAAAGCTATACACGTCAGC